CTTTTGGTGTCAAATTTTAAAAAAAAATTGTTGCAGAGACCAGTGTTACAGAGTTTTCCCCCTATGTCTTGTCCTAGGAGTTTTATGGTTTCAGGTGTTCTGTTTATATTTTTAATCCATTTTGAGTTAATGTTTATGGTACAAGATAAGGATTCCAGTTTTATTCTTTTGCATGCAAATATCCAGTTTTCTCAGAAAAATTTATTGAAGAGACTATCTTCTCATTGTATACTCTTTCCACCTTTGTGTGTGTGTGTGTGTGTGTGTGTGTGTGTGTGTGTATGCATGCATGCACATGAGTATTTGTGTGTTTGAGTCATTAGTTTTTTTCTTCCACACTTTTTATTGGTGCATTGTAGTTGTACATATTGGTGGGATTTGTTGTTACATATTAATACATACACACAATAAAACAGGTAGTTTGTTCAATATCCTCCCCAACTTTTGCCACCATTTTTGAAGATTAGATGACTGTATGTGTGCAGGTTTTTTTTCTGGGATCTCTATACTGCTCCATTGGTCTATGGGTCTTCCCTTATGATACTAACAGAGTGGGTTTGTGTGTGTGTGTGTGTGTGTGTGTGTGTGTGGTCCTGGGGATTGAACCCAGGGCCTTGTACATATAGCACTCTACCAACTGAACTATATCCCCAGCCCTACCCTAGTGTTTTGATTACTATAGCTTTGTAATATAATTTGAAATTAGAAAGTATGATGCCCTTATCTTTTATTTCTTCAGGATTGCTTTTGTTATTCAGGATCTGTTGGGGTTCCATACAAATTTTAGGATTAAAAAAATAGTTCTGTGAATTATGTCATTGGAATTTGATAGGTATTTCAATGGATTTGCAGTTCTCTTTGGGCAGTATGGATACTTTAATAATATTAATTCTGATCTTGAACATAAGATATATTTACATTTATTTGTTTCTTCTACAATTTCTTTTATCAATGTTTTATAGTTTTCAGTGAAGAGATCTTTTACCTCTTAGTCAGTTTTTGTCACTGTGATAAAAATACCTGACAATAACAACTTAAAGGAGGAAAGATTTACTTTGGCTCATGGTTTCAAATATTTCAGCCCTTGGTTGGCTAGCTGCATTGCTTTGGGGATGAGGCAAGGCAGAACGTCATGGTGGAAGGGTGTGGCAGAGAAAAATTGTCAGTTCATGGCAGCTGGGAAGCAGAGCGAGGGAGGGAGAGACAGAAAGAAGAACAAGGAGGAGGAGGAGGGGAAGGAGGAGGAAGGGAACTGGGACAAGATATCATCCCCAAGGGCATGCCCTCAGCAACTTTCTTACTTCAACCATGCCTACAGTTTCCATCACCTTCCAGTAGTTCATTCAGGTATCATGGAATAATCCACTGATGAGGTCAGAGCCTCATGGACCAATAACTTCCCAAAGCTCCATCTCTGAACATTGGTGCATTGGGAGACCAAGTGATCAACACATGAGTATTTGGGGGACTCTATATCCAAGCCTCTTTGGGTAAATTTATTCCTATGGGCTTTACTCTTTACTGCTATTATGAATGAGATTTTCACTTTTTTGTGGGTAATTTCATTTTTAGTATATAGAAGTGCACTGACTTTTTCAAATATTGATTTTGTATCCTGAAAATTTAATGAATTCATTTATTAGTTCTTATGTTTTTTTGGTAGTCTTTAGGGTTTTTAATATATAAGATGATGCCTGTTTTGGGGACAATTTTACTTCTTCCTTTCTGATTTGAAAGCCTTTTATTTCTTTTTCCATGTCTAATTGTTTGGGCTAGGTCTTCTATTTTTATTTCAGTGCTGGTATTAAACCCAGGATCTGTGCACAGTAGGCAGTCTCTACCACTGAGCTTTGATCCAAGCCTGAGGTCTTTTAATACTATGTTTAGAAGTGGCAAGAGTGGGTATCCTTGTCTGGCATCTGATCTTAGATTTGCAACATTGACTATGATGTTAGCTGTGGGCCTCTGTTTTGTTGAAGTTCATTCTTTCTATACTCAAATTGTTGATTTAAAAAAAAATCATGAAAAGATGTTGAATTTTGTCATATGTTTCTGCATTTTTTGAGATATGATTTTCTCATCATTCTGCTAACTGTGATATATCAAATTTGTTGATTTGTATGTTTTAAATGATCCTTACATGTCAGGGATAAATTCCACTTGACCATGGTGTACAATTATTTTAATATGTTTTTAATTTGATTTCCTAGTATTTTTTTAAAGAATTTTTGCATGTATGTTTCTCAGAGATATTAGCCTGTAATTTTTTTCTTGCAGTATGCTTGTCTGGTTGGTATGAGGGTAATGCCTTGTAAAATAAAATTGGAAATGTTCCATCCTTTTCAGTTTTGGGGGAGAGTTTGAGATTTGTTATTAGTCCTTAAATGTTTCATAGAATTTAGGTGAAGCCATCAAGTCTTGAACTTTTCTTTTGTGGGGACTTCTTATTACTGATTCAAACTGCTTTCTATTATTAGTCTGGTCAGATTTTTCTACTTATTCATGATTCAATCTTCATAGGTTGCCTCTACCAATTTATCCATTTCTTTATGTTTTCCATTTGTTGGTGTATAACTTCATAGTGGTCACTTATGATCCTTTGTATTTCTATGGTATCAGTTGTAATGTCTCCTCTTCATTTCTGATTTTATTTATTTGAGTCTTTTCTTATTTTTCTTAGTTTATCTAAAATTTTGTGAATTTCATTTATCTTCACAAAACCAACTCATTTCATTGATCTCATCTTTGGATTTTCTTGACTATGTTTCTTTTCTTTTTTTCCCCTCTCATTTGTATTATTTTCTTCTTTCTATTAACTATGGACTTACTTTTTTCTACTTAAAGTTTTTACCTGAGGTGTAACATTAGGTTGTTTACTTAAGTTCCTTCTTTTATAATGTAGGCATTTTCACTATAAAGCTCCCTCTTAGGCTTTAGGTGCATCTCATAATCTTTGGATGCTGCATTTCTGTTTGTATCAAGATTTTTTTCATTTCCCCTTTGATTTCTTTATCTTTTTTGGCTCATTGATTGTTCAAGAGACTCATTTAATTTTCATATATTTGTGAATTTTACAGTCTTCCTCATGTTACTGATTCTAGTTTCATACCATTGTGGTCAAAATGGATATGTGATATGATTTCAATCTTCTTAAAGTCATTAGGACTTGTTTTGTGGCCTGACATATTATCTATCCTAGAGAAAGTTCTTCGTTTGCTTGAGAAGAATATGAATTATGTTTTTGTTGAATAAAATATTTTGTATATGTCTGTTAGGTGTATTTGGTCTAAAGTATAGTTCAAGTCCAATGTTACCTTATTAATTTTCTGTCTGGATGAGCTATATTGAAGTAGAGTATTGACATCTTCTGTTCTTAATATATTGCTGTTCATAACTCCTTTCATATTTCTGAGTATTTGCTTTGTATATTTATATGCATAAATATTTACCATTTTTGTATATTCTTGATTAATTGACCCAATTATCATCCTAATATGACTTCCTCTTGTGATAGTTTCTGATTTGAGGTCTGTTTCATCTAATTTGTCATTTACATGGTATATCTTTCTCCATTACCTCAATTTCAGTCTACATATATCCTTAAAGATTAAGCAGTTCTCCTATATGTAGCAGATAGTTGGGTCTTATTCATATGTACATTCAGCCACTTTGTCTTTTGATTGTTAAATGTAGTCTATTACATTTAAAGTAATTTTTAAATTTTTAAAAATGTTTATCTTTTTTAGTTGTAGGTGGATACAATATCTTTATTTCATTTTAATGTGGTGCTGAGAATCGAACCCAGTGCCTCACATGTGCTAGGCAGGCACTCTACCACTGAGCCACAACCCCAGTACCCCCATTTAAAATAAATTTTAAAAGTTTTTTTTTTTTTTTTAGTTGTCAGTGTACCTTTATATTATATGTGATGCTGAGAATCAAACCCAGGGCCTCACATGTGTTAGGCTAGTGTTCTACCACTGAGCTACAACCTCAGCCCTAAAGTAATTTTTGTAGGTAAGGATTTACTGTTATCATTTTATTAATTGCTTTCTGGTTGTTTTGTAAAGGCTTTGTTTCTTTCTTCCTCTATCGTTGTCTTCCTTTGTTATTTGATAATTTTCTGTAGTAGTGTTCTTTGTTTTGTTTCTCTTTAACTTTAGTGTATCTACTATAGATTTTGCTTTGTGGCAACCATAAGGCTTAGATAAAACATTTTATAATTATTATCAGTTTATTTTATTTTATTATTTTTTAAATATTCCAAATATATTTATAATAAAATTATGAAATAAAATGTCAGGAATGGGCAACTAATAATAAAGTTTTTATACAGAAGAAGGGCATCATTAGCTGTTCAAATTTATGATTCAGGGGCTAAGAAACCAAGTACATAAGTTTCCTCACATGTCCTTGCTGAAATGTTCTCCACTTGGTCAGCCTGAGAATGGTTAAGGAACCACTCTGTCCACTCTTAGTTTCCCAGAAAGAGGTCCATCCAAGCCAAGCCCTAACACAGTCCACACTAAGGTCCATACCAGATCACCCACCCTGGCTGACCAAGAATTTTTCCTCTTTCCCTTTTTTGCTTCTCCTCTGCCCACAACCTCTTATTTCATCTCAAACACAACTACTGTAAGATGTTTTATTTAATTGGAAAAATCTGAATAAAGAACCAAATTTCGTTCCCTTGAAGAAAACATTACCACAGCTTAAATATATTGGGAAGAGGGGGGATAAGAGTGCACTGTCCATACTGGCTCTTTCACTGTCTTACCTGACTCTGAGGCCCTATCAGATGGGAATCACAGGTGTCCAAGAGAATTCTGCTAGGCCTTCTAATATGGCCTTGAGAGCAGCTGTTAACATCTGCTTCTGGCCCACAGACTGCTGAAATCCTGAGAGCTGCCATGGCAGTTATAAAAACGTGTGAATAAACAGAATGCACAAGGACTAGATGATTGGTGTTTTCAGCTAGTTACAGGCAGTAACACTTCAACTAGGAAGGAAAATATATAATTTATCAAAAAATAGTTCTAATATATAGAAAAACATCTCGATCCTCTGGGGCCAAGACCTGCCCCTTATTTACATTCACAAAGCCACTGAGTGAACCAAGTAACTGGCTAGGGAACAGTGAGGCAAGGCCTCCTTTGTGGGGTATGCCAGTCACCTACTGTGTAATCAGATGAAGAAAAAAACAGAAGGTCATTTGCTCATTTTTTGAGAGGACAGGGGAATCACTGGAGGCAAAAGAGACAAGACTTGTCTTGTATTAGTTTCAATTCCTTATAAGCCCTAAAATAGAATTTGAAATCTTGGACCAATGTCCTGTGTCCATGAGAATCAAGGTTAAACAAGTTACTGATCAGAATGGTTTGTTGCCATACTACCAACATGTCATATTCCTTTGCATTTTTTCCCCTCAAAATCCAGGTGGTTAAGGGATTGGTTGGAGAAAGTACCAAAGAACTAAAGTAAAAAGGGTCATACAGAGAGGACACTACACCAGCTTCTTGGCCTCAAAGAAGCTCTTGAGATGACGCATCTGCCAAATGCCAGTAAGGATAAGGATGACTGTCTGAGCGATGGACCACCACAGGACCCTCTGGTTGGTACTCTCACTGGTCAGACGGAAGCGTTCTTCACGATATCTCTGGTAATCCTTCTCCTTCTGGATCTGTTCCACTTGATCAAGTAACTGGCGAGCACGGAGCTGCAGTTCCGTCAGCTTATTCTTAGCTGCAATCTCAGGGTAGTTGTTGGCATGCTCCCCGACCTGGATGTCTAGGTGCACACACAGTTTGCCACTGGCGAAGAGGGCCATTCTAGTGGAATTGGAGTGCAGACAAATCTGATGTTCACCGGGAGTGTGGGAGGTGAACGTGAAACGGCCCTCGGAGCCATACTGTCGGGACAGTACCACCTTACCGTCGGGGTCCTTCACCTCCACATGCATGCCCAGGCCAGGGGTCGAGGGAAGGAAAACCTCCTTCTGCTTGTCTCACATCTGGGTTCGATAGTTGCCGATGACCATGGTCTCGTCGGGGATTTCCTCGATGAAGCAACGCTTCTCTGTCTCGCCGATGTGGAAGTAGAGCCCCTGGGTGCCGGCAGCACACATCACGAGCAACAGAAACGCCGGTCGCCCCATAGCCGGCAGGCCCCTACCCACGACACCTGCCATCGTGCCTGATACCCCCGCGTGCCTATCAGTTTATTTTAATCTTTTAACAGCTTTGCATACAATAGCTCAGCACTTTTACTTCCCCAATTTTATATTTTTGATGTCACAGTTTACAACTTTCTTATTGTGTATGGATAATTAAGTTATTTTAGATATAGTTAGTTTTAATTACTTCTGTCTTAACCTTTATACTAGAAATAAAAGTGGTTTACACACTGTCCTTCCAGTATTACAATATTATGAATTTAAGTCTATATTTACCTCTACCAGTGAGTTTTATTCTTTCATATTTACATCATTAATTAGTGGCATTTTGTTTCAGCTAGAAAAACTCTCTTTAGTATTACTTTGAACATTTTGAATATATCATCTCACTCTCTCCTGGCCTGCATGGTTTTTGTGTAGAAATCTGCTAATGGTCTCATTGAGGTTCCCATATATATGAGGGGTCTCCTTTCTCTGGGTCTTTGATTTTTGATAATATGATTATAACACATCTTGGTGAAGTCTTCTTTGAACTGAATCCTTTGGAGATCATTGAGCTTAACATACCTGGAATTTTATCTTTCTCCAGATTTGGGAAGTTTTCATCCATTATTCCTTTAAATATGCCTCTATTTCTTTTTTTTTCTTTTTCTTTCTCTGAGGCAAGCTTCAAATATATGTGTTGCATCCAGGGATAATTGCAAGCATGTATAAGGTGGCATTAGCTGGATCCAGGGGTAGGGATCAGAGCCAACTCTTGGGGCACGTGTGGCAATGAGGGCTGGTGGTATATGCATGTTTGATGATAGTGGTCTGGGATGATGGAATGCAGTTGCATGGTACAGTGTTCAGGTGTTCACTGGTGATAGGGATCTGGCAATCTGTGTGTGTATACCTGAAATGGCCAACTGGTGGGGTTCTTTTTTTTTTTTTTTTGGTACCAGGGATTGAACTCAGGGGCACTCAATCACTGAACCACATCCCCAGCCCTATTTTGCATTTTATTTAGAGACAGGGGCTCACTGAATTGCTTAGTGCTTTACTGAGGCTGAGGCTGACTTTGAACTTGCAATCTTCTAGTCTCAGCCTCCCAAGCCTCTGGGATTACCTGGTAGTGTTCTTGTGTGTCTGCTATAGTTTGGATCTTGAATGTCCCTTTAAGGCCCACAAATTAAAGGATTGGTCCTCAGCCTGTAGTGCAATTGGGAGGTGGTGGAAACTTTAAAAACCTCATGGGCAGAAATTAGGTCATTGAAGGATTGATTGTAAGACTTCAGTCTCTTCATCTTCCTCTCTTTTTCATATTTCTAACCTTAGGGTGAATGGCTTGCCCTGTCACGTTCTCCTATCAGGATGTCCTGTGCTATCATAGTCCCAAAGCATTTGTTCATGGATTGGAGCCTCCAAAACTATGAGCCAAACAACACTTTCCTCAGTATAAGTTGGTAATCTTAGGTATTTTGTTATGTTAACAGAAGCTGACTAACACAATGCCAATGCAAGGACCAAGTAAAGGGGTAAAGTGCCTTAGTTTGGGCTGGTGCTGGAGAGCAGTCAACTGTGTTTGTATGTGCAGGTGTGGAGGGCCTGGGCTGGTGGCAAGCCTGTGTACAGCTCTAGGGGCTAACTGTGAACATAAGCACAATGGGGCTGATGATAGGAGTTGGTCCTGGCTGTTTGTGCATGGCCAGCTGTGGGGGCTAGAACTGGTGGTGTGCATAAGCCCAGCTACAGAGATTAGTTGTGGGTGCACATGTGGTGGTGGGAGCAAGGGCCTGTGGCAGGAATCCAGGGGTATTTGTAGGAATGCATATGACAGCTATGCTGGGTCCTTTGGCCGGGATGCTCATGAATCAAGTACTTTGGGACTGTGAAGGTAAAAAACTATAGGAGCCTTCTGTGGTGGTTACAGTGGGTCTGCTGTGGCTGTGCTGGCTGTTGATTTCTTTAGTAGCAAATGCTGAGGGGGTTTCTATTGCACAGGCATGTGGGGTTTATAATGGTGAACTTTGCTGGGTCTTTTGTAGTTAAAGTTGTGTGTAAAGCAACTCCACGGGCTGTTGATGTCCTCCAAATAGGCCACTGTGGTCTGAAATGGCTCCTGCCTTATGTTGATACTGATATCTGCCATCCTTCTTTGTTCCAGCTTTCTCTAGATTTCTCAGGTTTGCCAGTCTCCACAGGAATCTGGGTATGGTGCGATTGAAGTTATCCATTTGGGCAGTGCCCTGAAAGGTTGAGGAAGTTGATTATTCACAGCCCCCTAACTCTCCTTTCTACTGTCAGGTAAAATCAATGCCAGAGAGATCTGAGCAGTCTGGTTTTGTGGATGTGATGATACAGGCAAAATGAAACTTGTTTTTTGAATCCCATTTGTGTAGTTATTATCAATTTTTTTCTTCCATTGTGGTGTTGTAGCTTCTTAAATGAATTCCTGAGCTCTTCCAGAGTTATTTTCCATTTATGGAGGGCTATCTAGTTGTTCTCTTTTTTAGAATTTTTTATATGTATAGACCTTTATTTTATTCATTTAATTATATATGTGGTGCTGAGAATCAAACCCAGTACCTCACACATGCTAGGCAAGCATGATACCACTGAGCCACAGCCTCAGCCCTTATCTAGTTGTTCTTTATGGGCAAAAACAAAGGCTGGGATCTTTTACTATGCCTTACTATGCTTTCTTCCTGATGTCACCCTAATCCATCTTTTAACATTTTGATAATAGTCATTTTGACATATGTGAGATGATGTCTCATACTGGTTTTGAATTACTATTTCCTTATGATTAGTAATATATGTCTTCATTGGAAAAATGTCTATTGAAGTCTATTTAAGTTGGGCTATTATTTTTTGAATTGTATAACATTTATTTTGGCTATCAACCTCCTATTGTATTTGCAAATATTTTCTCTCATTCTGTATATGGCTTTTGATTTCGTTTATTGTTTCCTTTGCTGTGCAGCATAACCCTCCATATTTTCTTAAAAGTTTTTTTAATTGGTACATAATAGTTTAGGATTTATTTTGACATAATTATAAATACGTGGAGTATAGTTTGCTCCATCCAACTAAGTCTCTTGTACTTACCCTTGCCCTCCCCATCTTTTAATTCCCTTCTCTTAAAAGTTTTATTGGTTCAGCTCTTATATTCCATTCTGTGATCCATTTTGAGTTAAATTTTTGTACATTATGTTTGGAAGTTGTGTATAGATCCAATCTTTTGCATATGTTTGTCCAGTTGTCCCAGAAACATTTGTTCAAGAGACTAATTTCACATTAAGTACTTTGGGCATCTTTGTCAAAAAACCAATTCATCAGAGAAGTATGTACATTACTGTGGAGAATATTGCCATGCTTCACAATATTAACTCTGTGAACAGGGGATATCTTTCCATTTCTTAAAGGTCTTCTTTAACTTATATCAGCAATATTTTGTAGTTTTAGATAATAAATATTTCACATTTTTGGTTGAATTTATTCCTAAGTATTTTATTCTTTTTATTTTATTTGTATTGGTCCATTTGGGTTGCTATAACAAAATACCACAAACTGGGTGGCACATGAACACTTTTATTTCTCACAGTTTTGAAGGATGGGAAGTCCAAGATCAAGGCACCATCAGATTTGGTGTCTAATAAGGACCCATTCATCATAGGTAGTGCCTTCTAATTGGGTTCTTATATTCTGAAAGGAGTAAAGAAGTTATCTGGGATCTCTTTTGTAATGAAAGTAATCCCATTCATGAAAGACCTTCCTTCAGGAGCTAATCACCTCTCAAAGGCCTTGCCTCTTATTACCATCACATTGAAGGTTAGATTTCAACACATGTAGTTTGTAGGATCATAGAATTTCAAATGATTTTCTTTTCAATTTTGGATTGCTCATCACTAGAATAGATAAGTACAACTGATTTTTCCATGTTAATTATTGTATACTATAAATTTGTAGAGTCTATTAGTGCTAACAATATTTATGTGAGTTTTGTAGGACTTTATATATAAAATATTGCATTTTATAAGTAGTGATACTCCTTCCTTTCCAATTCGGATCCCTTTTTCTTCTTACCTAATTGCTCCAGGGAGAACTTTCAGTATGCTGAGCAGCAGTGGTGAAAGCACACATCCTTGTCTTGTTTCTCATCTTAGGGGAAAAGCTTTTAGTCTGGTTACAGATGATTTTTAACATATGCCCCTTCAATATGTTGAGGAAATCTCCTTTCATTCTTAGTTTTTTGAGTGTTTTTACCAGGAAAAAGTTCTAGATTTTTTGAATGGTGTTTTCATTAAAAAAATTAAAGCTTTATAGGTATATATAGTAGTTGGGTTCATTTTAACAAACTAACACATGCATGAAACTTGATTTTGGTTCACAGGCCTCCTTTTTCTTCCCCTATTCCCTCCTGCCTTCCCTCTTTTCCCCCATTCTCCTTCCTCTACTAGACTTCCTTTCACTCACCTATTTATTTATATTTGATTGATTCTTTATACTTATGCATAAAAGTGAAATTCCCTGTGGCATATTTATATATGCACATAACATGATTTTTGAAGAATTCATTCCACATTGCCTCCCCTTACCCATTCCTCCATCCTGCCTCTCAGTCTCTTTTTCTATACTACTGATCTTCCCTTTATCTTTATGGTAGCCTATACTTTCTCTCCCCCTTCCTTTATTTTACTCTAGCTTCTGCAAACTTGAAAACATTTGTGAATGGTCTTTTTATATTAATTGAGATAACCATATGGGTTTCCCTCTCTAACCTATCAATGTGTTGTATTACATTTATTAGTTTAAAAAATGTGAACCACCCTTACATTCCTGAGATAAACTCCAATTGCTCATTATGTATAGTCTCTTAATATGTTATTGGATTCCATATAGCATTTTCTTGAGGATTTTTGCATCTTTATTCATATCAATTAATAGTTCTGTTTACTAGGGATGTCCTTGTCTGACTTTGATATTAGGGTAATGATGGCCTCATAGAATGAGTTAGGAAGTGTTCCTTTTTC